GTGAGAAACACGATCAAATTCAAGAAAGAACTTATAGAAAAATATGAAAGTGGTGTACGTGTGGTCGATCTCGCCAGGATGTATGGGTAGTCTTCATCAATGATCAGTTCCATCCTGGCAAAGAAAAAAGAAATCAAGGAAGCTGATGTTGCAAAAGGAGTAAATGTGCTAATGAAACAGAGATCACAAATAATAGAAGTTGTTGAGAAGTTGTTGTTGGTGTGGATAAACGAAAAACAGTTAGCGGGAGATAGTGATGTGGAGGCGATAATTTGCATAAAGGCAAGGCAGTTGCATGCGGATCTAGTAAAGAAAATGCCTGGAACGAGTGCTGCTGTTAGTGAATTTAAGGCCAGCAGAGGCTGGTTCGACAACTTCAAGAGGCAATCTGGCATACACAGTGTGTTAAGGTATGGTGAGACTGCAAGTTCAGACATACGTGCGGCCAAAGAATTTGTTCATGAGTTCAAGGGGTACGTAGAGGCTAAAGGATTCCTCCCCCAACAAGTGTTCAGTTGTGATGAAACAGGCCTCTTTTGGAAGAAAATGCCAAAGAGGACCTACATCACGCAGGAGGAAAAGGCCCTGCCAGGACACAAACCTATGTAGGATAGGCTAACTCTTTTGTTCTGTGGTAATGCTAGTGGGGATTTCAAAGTGAAACCTTTACTGGTGTTTAACCCTTTCAGGGTCCGTCCTGTAGATCAACGGCTTTACGTTGAGTGTCCAAACCGTAGATCTACGCCAAAATTCTAGCACCGTCAAATTTAGCGCGAAAATGCTCATAGGCCTACATGTGAGAGAACGGGTCTGCGTGGTGGGTGTGCGCCATAAACAAAAAATCTAGGCGCCCGCATAGCATTGTGGGAATGCCGCCTCAGTTACCCTTGTTCACCATGCCTCGTCGCAAGTCAGCTCTCACTCCCCGGAAAATTGGGACTCTCCTCTTCCTATCTGATAGTTCTGACACTGATGGAAGTGGAAATGAAGACGAATTCTACGGCTTTGATCAGTTAGTGACCGAAAAGAATGACCAGGATATCGATAATAGTGCAGAAAACCCTGACGATCCTCAACCTTCTACCTCTGGTGTGGGCACTCGTGACTCACGGTCGGTTGTTCCTCATCGCAACAGAAAACTAATATTTTCGTGTGGCCAGGCCTCTGACTTCGGTAATGATGATGATAGTGACGTGGACTGTGATTTTATTGCGCTCGACGATCAATTGAGTAGTGATAGTGAGGAATCATATTCACCAGTGAAGCGTCGGTATGTTCGCCGCCGCATGCGCTCGGGTAGTGTACCCTATGCTGTGCCCAGGGGATGGAGTACATGCCGGAGTACATCCCGGAGTACATCCCGTGGCCCAACACCAGTTTTAGGTAGTGATAGTGAGGATGATGTGGCTACACTTGGCATGGATAGACCACAGGCATCAGTGGATGGTGTTAGTGGTGATGGTAGTGGCACCGCCATGCGTGACTCACCAGGCCACGCTGGGACCCACGCTGCTGACTCGTCAGTTCAAGGACAAAGCGGAGCGCCAGCCACCAGCCCACCACAACCACAACCACCCGCACAACCAGCCTATGATGTCCAGTATCCACCAGCAAACCGTATCTGGGATTGGCAGCAAAATCTCAATTTTGTTCCCAAGCCTCACCACTTTGATGATTCTCAAAGTGGAATTCTACCTACTTGTCCTCTTGGAACCACGGCCAATGAACTGGAATTCTTTGACCAGCCATTGATGGAAATTATTGTCAGGGAAAGTAATAAGTATTTTGAGTACACCATGGCAAATACGATCTTATCACCACAGTCAAGACTACACAGGTGGAAAGAGATGACTGTTGCAGAAATGTATTTGCTTTTTGCAACAATAATGCTTATGCCTCACGTCTATAAGCATAATATAAAAGCATACTGGTCCACAGATCGGCTAATTTCTACCCCGGTCTTCAGTGAAATCATACCAGTGAACAGGTTTGTCTTACTCTTACGTATGTTGCACTTCTCTGACAAAACCAGGCCTGACAGAAGTGACAGGTTATACAAGATTAGAAATGTTTTCATGTATCTCAAACAAAAGTTCAGCATATACTTTTTATCCTTTCAAGAATCTTTTTAATTGACGAGTCTTTGATTTTGTTCAAAGGCTGACTGTCATTCAAGCAGTATATACCGAGCAAGAGGAAACGCTTTGGTATAAAACTGTTTGTACTCTGTGATTGTGACAGTGGCCTGGTGTTGGATATTGTTGTATACACGGGTAGAAAAACATTGAAAGATACCAAGATGTTATTGGGTATCTCAGGTGACGTAGTGAGAAACATGATGGCACCTTATCTTGGTAAGGGGTATACATTATATACCGATAACTGGTACACAAGCCCATTACTCAGTGATTTCATGCGAGTGAACAAGACAGATGTGTGTGGCACAGTGCGTTCTAATCCTAAACATATGCCCAGGCTCAACGCAGGTGCTCGTGGTGATGACGTGCAGGTGTTTACTGCCAATGACATCATGCCATTACGGAGGCATGACAAACGAGATGTCACATTGTTGACAACCATTCACCGTAATGAAATGCAAGACAGTGGCAAAGTTGATCGAGTGACTAATGAACGTATTCGAAAACCAGTGACATTGATTGATTATACACAAAACATGTGCTTGGTTGACAAATGTGACATGCAGATTGGTTTTGTTGACTGTGTTCATAAGAGTTACAAGTGGTACATGAAACTTTTCTTCCATCTCATGGACATTTCAATGCTCAATGCATATAATATGTACCAAATAAAGACTGGCAACAGACCACCGTATGGTGAATTTTGTTTGTCTGTTGTCAGACAACTCATAATGAAGTACCAGGTAACAACACCTGCTATACAACATGGTCCTCGAATTCCTCAGGGTATACCCAAGCGTTTGAGGAGGGAAGGTGATCATTTCATAATACAACTTCCTTCAACTCAGAAGAAATTTGCTCAGAAGAGATGCATCGTCTGTGCACAAACAAAAAGACGGCAACAAAGACGCAAAGACACTGGGTTTATGTGTGAGGAATGTAAGGTGCCTCTGTGCATGGTGCCTTGTTTCAAGGAGTTCCACAAGCTCCAGCAGTTCTAAAACCATGTCCAGTGATTGTAAATATGTAAATATATGATAGAACATTAGTTTTTATACAAGATTTGTGCATGTTTATTGTAATAAACAACAGGGGGTAAACAATATGATAATAACTTTAGTGCAGTTATTGTGTTCAATACAGTGAGTTTATATATATACATTATATACAGTATTGGTCCTCTCAGGCCCCAAATGTTAGTAGGAATAGAAAAAAATTGGAAAAGAAAAAAAAAACAAAAAAAAACGCAAAATAATGTAATGCGCGTATGTGGAATTCGTCGATGTTGCCGCCACCACATCATTTTCGACAAACTTCTTGGCACTGTATCTCGGTAAGTACTGATCAGAATTTTTTTTTTTCTTATTACCTCACAAAATATGCTCTTTAATTCTGTAAGAAAAAATAATTTTTTTTTTTTTTTTTCAAAATTTCTTGGACACTGGAGCACCACTTCAGATTTTGGCCTTGGACCCTGAAGTGGTTAACTCTGAAAAACCCTGAGTGTTCAAGAAAAACAATGTCATGAAGAGTATATTGTGTGTGATGTGGAAGGCTAACAATAAGGCATGGTCACAAGGCTACTTTTCATTGAGTGGGTCATTGAAGTGTTTGGCCCAAGTGTGAAGAATTACCTCCTGGAAAATAAATTACCACTCAAGTGCCTCCTGTTAATGGATAATGCTTCTGCTCATCCTCCAGACTTGGAAGACCAATTGTTTGAGGAGTTTAGTTTCATTACAGTGAAATTCTTGCCCCCTAATATCACCCTCTCATCCAGCCAATGGACCAGCAGGCCATTTCAAACTTCAGGAAACTCTACACCAAAGCAGTGTTTCAAAGGTGCTTTGAAGTGACCTCAGACACTGAATTGACCCTAAGAGAGTTCTGGAGGAATCACTTCAATATCCTCAGTTGCATAAGCCTTATAGATAAGGCTTGGCAGGAAGTGACTTCCAGGACGATGAACTCTGCTTGGAGAAAATTGTGGCCAGAATGTGTCCAAGAGAAGGATTTTGAAGGATTTGAGGCTGGCCCTGACAACCCTGCGCCTGTTGTGGAATCTATTGTGGCATTGGGGAAGTCCATGGGGTTGGATGTGAGTGGCAAGGATGTGGAAGAGTTGGTGGAGGACCACAGGGAAGAGCTAACCACTGAAGAGCTGCAAGATCTTCAACTGGAACAGGAACAGATTGCAGCTGAGGAAATTGCTTCTGAAGAGGAGGAGAAGGGGAGAATGTGCCTTCTTCAGTGATCAAGGAATTTGTGCAAAGTGGAGTGAGGTGCAAAGTTTTGTGGAGAATTATCACCCTAACAAAACTGTTGCAAGCCTTGTCTTCAACATGTTCAATGACAATGCCTTGTCCCATTTTAGGCAAATCTTAGAGACGCCAGAAACAGAGCTCTCTGGACAGATTTTTTGTGCGACAGGGGTACAGTGACTCTCAAGCTGGTCCTAGTGCCAGTAAAAGATAAAGAAGGAAAGTAACCCCAGATAGGGCTTTGATACCTGAAGACCTTATGAAGGGATTTCCCTTCCAAACAATAAATTTCTTCCATATGCCAACAAGAGTCTTCAAAAAGGTATGTAATAGTGATTTAAATGTTTAATTTATCAATTAAAGTTAGTCATTTATATTTATTTCTCATTGTTTTCTGTATGTAAAACTATTATTATTCTCTCCCAAAATGTGTTTTTTTTTAATTCTTTTGGGTGTCTGGAATGGATTAATTGGATTTACATTATTTCTTATGGGAAATATTGCTTTAGTTTTCATCAAATTTGGTTTTCGTCCGACTCTCTAGAACTAAATTTAAAAAAGAAAACCAAGGTTTCCACTGTATATTGTTTGTTCTTCACAGATATATGCGAGGATGCAGAACTGAGAGAAAGAATCATGCAACTCATCAGTGAACAGGAGACAAAGAGGCTTCATGACCAAACAAGAAGGGTGAGACGTTTGAAGATTTTTATATTATTAACTTTTACTTTCTCATGCATAAATGTACATCATTGATGCACAGTACCCTTAAATATGCTGTAAGTGGTAAATTCTGGCCTAGACTTGAGGTAAAGCAAACCTCTGAACTCATGTTTAGCTTAAAATAATAATTTTTAAGGCTTTTTAGGGTTGTTTTATGGTTTTATTGGCTGTTTCTGGGTATCAGTGTATAGAATGAAGAACATACTAAAGAAGTACAGAGGATTTTTGTTGATTTCAGACCAGGCAATTTTCCTGATAAAAAGGGATTGGGCCTCTGGCCCACTCCCAGTCTATTTTATGGGTTTTAATTAGGTCTGCTACAATTATTGGGACAGCCTTAACTACGACCAATGATTTTTTGTTATATTGTATTAATCCGAGAAATGGGGTAAAACTTTGATATTTTGGGTGATGATGGATTCAGTATGGAGGTCAAGTATTACATAGGCTTGGGGATGTGATTAATGAACAGAGAAAATTATTTGCTTACAATGGACCCTCCCTTTTCGTTGGGCTCTGTTTTTGCTCATTTCCGTTTTCGCAGATTTTTTCCGTAAAATTATTGGCTCCGTTTTCACTGCTTTCCTTTGTTCTTGTCAGTGTGTAATAAAGTTGGTAGAATTACCGACAATATGTAAAGTAAAAGGACACAAGTGCAACTAATGTGACATTTATAGTGGCAACGTTTCGCTCTCCAGGAGCTTTATCAAGCCATTACAAACAATACATGGACACAGGGTATATAAAGGCTCAGAGTGAGGTGCAATACTAGTGAGGTAACATTTCGATGTTCACTAGCGGTAGTAGTAGTAGTAGTAGTAGTGACAAAAGTAATACAATATGAAATAGCAATTGATTCGTACAAGAGTAAAAGGATATAAAAGCTATTACTTGGGTAACATAAAAATAGGTTGGACAAATATAGACTGGAAAGAGGCAGCTTGTTTCAGTGTTCACTCTCTGTAATGTGCTTTGTGTAGTATAACAGGAGAGACTATGTGATGGCAGGGTTTACTGTTTTCAGGAGGAATCTTGCTAAGACTTCGGAGATGGTGAAGCTGCCGTTGATTTGTTTAATTGTATTCGAAACAGCGATCAGTGCTGATTCGAGGCACTTGCGTCTGCGGAAATTAGTTTCTTTGATCACTAATTGGGTGTCTCTGAATTTCATGAGATGATTGGTGGAATTTCGGTGTACAACACCGAAATTCCACCAATCATCTCAACCTATTTTTATGTTACCCAAGTAATAGCTTTTACATCCTTTTACTCTTGTACGAATCAATTGCTCTATCATATTGTATTACCTTTGTCACTACTACTACTACTACTACCACTAGTGAACATCGAAATGTTACCTCACTAGTATTGCACCTCACTCTGAGCCTTTATATACCCTCTGTGTCCATGTATTGTTTGTAACGGCTTGATAAAGCTCCTGGAGAGCGAAACGTTGCCACTATAAATGTCACATTAGTTGCACTTGTGTCCTTTTTCTTGTCAGTGGTATGGTAAAAATGTTGGCTCCGTTTCCGTTGCTTTCCTCCATTCTCGTTGGTGGTATGGTACATGTCCGAGTGTGCAGCACACACAACCTCCCACACACGCATTCTGAGGAGGCAGTGTCGCTTTGTTTCTCGGTGAGTGAACATTAATCCTTTCAGGGTCCAGAGGCCAAATTTCAAAGTGCACACCAGTGTCCAAAAATTTTCAAAAAATAATTTTGTTATTTTTTCTCATGAAATGGTAGAGAATCTTTTTCTGAAAGTAATAAAACAAAAAAATCCGAAATTTGATGGAAAATTAACGAAATTATTCTCTTGCGAATTTTGATGTGTCAGCGATATTTACACATTGGCGATTTTGCCGACTTTGAGTCCCATTTTAGGCCAATTACCTTATTCCAGTCGACCAAATTCTTAGCTATTTCACTAGTATTACTTCTATTCTATTGACTGAGCACAAGAAATCACCAGCTCAGCTGTTTCAACTACAAAATAAAGTGATTGGAAATTGGTAATTTGGCCAATTTAGTGCAGAGTTCAAAATATTCCAATTTCAAAATAGGGTCCAGAATAAACAATGCAGAATTCCTGGCACTAAACTAACATTTCCTCTGTTCATTAGTTATGTTTTCAGGCTTTACAAGTGAATTTCATTTTGATTTTTAATTGTACCTCTGTATGTGTGCACATAATGAATTTTTATTCAAACCAAAAAATAGAAGATTTACTGTCATGCAATATTGTAATAATTGTATAAATAATATCAGCACATTTGTGAACGTATATTAGACCCACCAGCTGGTGTGTATTAGATGTGTGAGGTCATTTGTTTACTCTTGAACATCAGCAAAAATTTAACATTTCCGTTACTTGAGCTCAGTTTCAAGCCATTTTCAGTACTAAAACCAATCAAAATCATTATTTCTGTAATATGTCTTCCATTCTATCAAATGAGACCAAGAAATCGCAAATACAGCTATAAAAACATACAGAAAAACAATGCAAAGTTGCTGTTTTAATCGAAAATTATGGTCTCGTTTTTTTTTCTCTCATTATGCACTGTGTGCTGCAGGATTTGTTTTATGTGGTGCACACATACCACATGGATGTATTCCCTCATATCTAGGCCCAAATTTACCACTCACAGCTTATCAGAGTGAGCTGAGCTCATGGAGTAGATCTACGGTTTGGACCCTCAACATAATGCCATAGATCTATGGCATGGACCCTGAAAGGGTTAACCTACGAGGCCATAGGAAACATTTTGTAATAATTCATTGTTTTTTGCACTTGTTTATTCTGTGTGACTGCTAAATAAGCCACCATGGGCCCAGAGAAAGTTGCTAGTGACAGCCTGTTGATAAAGAAGGTGAGAAACACGATGGAATTCAAGAAAAAACTCGTAGCAGAGTACGTACCAAAGTGGAGGAGGAAGAGAGAGGGGAGAATGTGCCTTCTTTAGTGATTCAGTAATTCTACGATATGTACGATACTAAAGCAGCAGGAGTCGATAAAAGCTATAGCGCCAGCCTGCGATGAAGTGTAGCATTAATGGTGTAGCACGTAAGTTAAGCGATTAAGTGATAGAAAAAGGAAGACACGAAACTGACTCCTCCAATGTTATTGGAGGTATACAGGGTCACTGACAAACATATGCCACCCTGCCTATCTTCCACCACCCTAAACCAATGCCAGCATCTCTAAGGTACAATAAGTGTAAATATTTCTTATTTATAAATTAAACTGAAGGAGGGGTGTTAATGTTGCAGTTTAAAAACTGTAGTGTAAAGCACCCTTCTGGCAAGACAGTGATGGAGTGAATGATGGTGAAAGTTTTTCTTTTTCGGGCCACCCTGCCTTGGTGGGAATCGGCCAGTGTGATAATATAATAATATAAAATATAAATTACATACATTGTTTGTGTGAATAGTGTTGGTGGCTTCTGCTGCGGCCTCCACTACCACTAATATATAAACCCAACAACAACGCCACCACCACTTACTCCCCATATACATAATGACATATTTTATTTATTCTAGAGTATATATCATGTTTCTATGTTTTTAATATTGTTTATTATGTCATATTAGATGAATTGTAATAGATAAATAAGCTGTGGAATATAGTTCTTCTCTATAAATATATATTTTTTTTATACTTTTAGATGTCTGAAACGGATTAATTGGATTTACATTATTTCTTATAGGGAAAATGGTTTCAGTTTTAGTCAATTTCACATTTTGTCAGACTCTCTGGAACGAATTAAAGATGAAAAGGGAGGGTCCACAGTATTTATGTTTTGAAAAATCGCAACATGCTGAAAGCACGTTTAATTTCGGCGGATACGTCACTGTAAGTGTTAAATACCATCATCCATTTGTAAAGTCACTGTTTAATTTGGTCATATCTTGTAGGTATCTACAGTAATTTTTATTGCTATTTTAAATTGGATTTTTTAGCCTTCAAATGTTTATACAGTTTTTTCTTTTGGCATATCATTTATATAAATTATAAATTTCTTCTGAGCACTTACTGTTCTGTGTGAAACACTCTTCATGACATTTCCCTCTGAGAACATTTTTCCTCCTATTACTGGTAGCTTTATTGCTTAAATTTTCTTTCAAACAAATACTCTTATCCACTGTAATACATTATACAGCGAACCATAATACATTATGGTTCGTTGTTTCAAGATTAGTTTTTCATAGTAAATTCTATCACATGGCATTTCTGTTGCTCTGTCATGATGGCCTAAGAGAAGAAAATCAACTTTTAAATCTACAATTTTTTTCTCAGAATGTACACAACATGTCTTCTTACATGCCTAATAAAGAACAGAACTTAGGATTAAGAACTGTAACAAAATGTTTTACTCTTTAATGTGTTCATTTTGTTATATTGAATATTAAATTTTATAAGTTTAGAAATTTAGTTGCTGATAAAAACAGATGGGCTCTTAGGAAAATTGCATAGCAAAGTGTTGTTCCACTGGTAGGTCTAATACTGAGGCTGCTACTTCAGCAAGTATTGTACTACTGGTAAGTCAAGTATTGAGGCTGCTACTTCAGCAAGTTCTGTACCACTAGTGTAGGTCCAGTATTGAGGCTGCTGCTTCAGCAAGTGTTGTACTACTGGTAGGTCCAGTATTGAGGCTGCTGCTTCAGCAAGTGTTGTACTACTGGTAGGTCCAGTATTGAGGCTGCTACTTCAGCAAGTTCTGTACCACTAGTGTAGGTCCAGTATTGAGGCTGCTGCTTCAGCAAGTGTTGTACTACTGGTAGGTCCAGTATTGAGGCTACTACTTCAGCAAGTGTTGTACTACTGGTAGGTCCAGTACTGAGGCTGCTACTTCAGCAAGTGTTGTACTACTGGTAGGTCCAGTACTGAGGCTGCTACTTCAGCAAGTGTTGTACTACTGGTAGGTCCAGTATTGAGGCTGCTACTTCAGCAAGTGTACTACTGGTAGGTCCAGTATTGAGGCTGCTACTTCAGCAAGTGTTGTACTACTGGTAGGTCCAGTACTGAGGCTGCTACTTCAGCAAGTGTTGTACTACTGATAGGTCCAGTATTGAGGCTGCTACTTCAGCAAGTGTACTACTGGTAGGTCCAATATTGAGGCTGCTACTTCAGCAAGTGTTGTACTACTGGTAGGTCCAGTACTGAGGCTGTTACTTCAGCAAGTGTTGTACTACTGGTAGGTCCAGTATTAAGGCTGCTACTTTAGCAAGTGTTGTACTACTGGTAGGTCCAGTATTAAGGCTGCTACTTTAGCAAGTGTTGTACTACTGGTAGGTCAAGTATTGAGGCTGCTACTTCAGCAAGTTCTGTACCACTAGTGTAGGTTCAGTATTGAGGCTGCTGCTCCAGCAAGTGTTGTACTATTGGTAGGTCCAGTATTGAGGTTGCTGCTTCAGCAAGTGTTGTACTACTGGTAGGTCCAGTATTGAGGCTGCTACTTCAGCAAGTGTTGTACTATTGGTAGGTCCAGTATTGAGGCTGCTACTTCAGCAAGTGTTGTACTACTGGTAGGTCCAGTATTGAGGCTGCTACTTCAGCAAGTGTTGTACTACTGGTAGGTCCAGTACTGAGGCTGCTACTTCAGCAAGTGTTGTACTACTGGTAGGTCCAGTATTGAGGCTGCTACTTCAGCAAGTGTTGTACTACTGGTAGGTCCAGTACTGAGGCTGCTACTTCAGCAAGTGTTGTACTACTGGTAGGTCCAGTATTAAGGCTGCTACTTCAGCAAGTGTTGTACTACTGGTAGGTTCAGTATTGAGGCTGCTGCTTCAGCAAGTGCTGTACCACTAGTATAGGTCCAGTGTTGAGGCTGCTGCTTCAGCAAGTGTTCCACTGGTAGGTCCAGTATTGAGGCTGCTGCTTCAGCAAATGTTGTACCACTAGTATAGGTCCAATATTGAGGTTGCTACTTCAGCAAGTGTTGTACTGCTGGTAGGTCCAGTATTGAGGATGCTGCTTCAGCAAATGTTGTACCACTAGTATAGGTCCAATATTGAGGCTGCTGCTTCAGCAAGTGTTGTACTGCTGGTAGGTCCAGTATTGAGGATGCTGCTTCAGCAAATGTTGTACCACTAGTATAGGTCCAATGTTGAGGCTGCTGCTTCAGCAAGTGTTGTACTGCTGGTAGGTCCAGTATTGAGGCTGCTGCTTCAGCAAGTGCTGTACCACTAGTAGGTCCGGTATTAAGCTTTCAAATGCTGATGCATAAGAAAAAATCAGTACAATGAGGAATTTGGATAACAGTTTCTTTATTATTTCAACCTCATAGGCTATCTAGTTTATGTATTTATTTATAATTGCAATCCCACCAGCAATGAGTTTTGCATTTTCAGTAATTGTTAACTAGGTTTATTAAGCATTCTATGAATTTTTTTTCAAATTCTTCTCTCACCCATGTCTTGTTAAATATTGTGTTAAACACTTTTGAGATAAACCCCATCAATATTTTAATATAAAATCTCTAGAATTTTGTTTGTTTATTTTTTCCATTTGGTTTGGGTCTATTTCTATCTATTCCCTGTTCAGAGTCTTTACAAATCACTTTGTGTGTGATTGTGCACATTCATGTGTGAAAATAACACAAATGCACAATACCATGACTGGAACAATACATAAATAACCTGCACATAGGAGAGAGGAGCTTACAACGGTATTTCGGTCCTACTTAGACCATTTACAAAGCCACACTAATGGAAAGGAGAGGAGGTGGGAGTATATATAGGCCAGCAGACAGGGACAGGACAAGAGAGGTAGTAGAGGAAGATGAGAAGTAGTGGTAGAGGTAATAGTAGTAGTAGTGAAGTCAGTCAAAGACTAAGAAGGAGGAGCACTGCAAGGGAGCTAGGGGCCCACAAAGGGTAAGAATAAGAACACAGAGGGGGGAAAAATAATAGTAACGGACCAAATACCCAAGGCAGAAGAAAGAAAACTGAAAGGAGAAATAGGCAAGGGGAAGAGGGAGGAGGAGGATACAAGAATCAGGTTAAGTCATTTGTGTTCTGAAGTTTGGAGCATTTTACAATGTAATGGGAAAGGAAGGTATCTACAGAGACAAAGCCAGGACTAAGATTCATACAAGGAAAGTTGTGTATAAGGGAGGATTCAACCAGATGGCAACTGTGAAAATTAGACTTAGGGTAGACAGTTTGGGCAGAAGACAAGTCAGTAGGATGACTGTGATCTCTGACATGACAGAAAAGAGCATTATTGGCGTCGGCAAGCTTAACACTATTTTTGTGCTCTCCGAGTCTGTTAGGAAGAGAACGGCCAGTTTCTCCAAAGTATTGAAGAGGACAAGATGAACAAGAAATAAAGTAGACACCAGGAGAATCTGTAGAGGGAGGAGAGGTATGTCCTAGATTGGTGTGAAGAGTGTTAGTCTGGCAAAAAGTAAGTTTGATGTCTAAGGAATGGAGAGTTGTTGAGATTAGAAAGAGCGGAAATATAGGGAAGGCAGAGGACAGGAGAGTTCACAGGAGTAGAGAGTTTGGGAGAGAAGAAAGTCTGTTTAGCACATGAGAAGGCAGAGTCTATGAAATGGGAAGGGTAGCCAGGACAGGAAAATGAATTACGAAGAGCAAAGATATCATCTACATAGCGGAGCCAGAGTGAAGGGCGCACATTAATGGCAGGAAGAACAGTCTCGAAGTATTCCATGTAGAGATTAGCAAGAACAAGAGATAGAGGAGAGCCCATAGTGAAATCGATGGTTTGCGAATAATATTTGCCTTGGAAGGAAAAGGAATTTGAGTCCACACAAGAGCAGATAAGATGTGTGTATGTGTCTGTCTGTCCTAAATGCTCTTAAAACTATGTATGGAGCCTGATTCCACTTTCCGACCACTCTGAGAATGAAGAAATACTTCCTGATATTCCCACAGCTGCTGCTTCTTTCAACAAACCAGCTGTAACCCACAGAGGCAGGGAAGCCCAAAAAGAAAAAAAACAAAAGTTTCTCTTTTTAACTTTAGTAATGTATACAGGAGAAGGGGTTACTAGCCCCTTGCTCCTGGCATGTTAGTTGCCTCTTACAACAAGGACCCCAATGGAAATAAGTCACTTTGTCTGACTTTTTTGGGTTATCCTAGGTTCTCTACACCTATGCTGTTATGTATGATAATCTATGTAACTGTATTTGTGTATATCTAAATAAACTTACTAACACACATGGCATTCCTACAGCTTATCTGTCAATAATTTCCAGCTGTCCCCTAAAGTTCCTGTTTCTTGCCTCTCAAACAGTCTTTCACTATCTTATTTATCAATTTTGTGTGTTATCATTATCTCCCCTGGTTCTTCTGTCCTCAAATGTCATGAGCCATTTCTATTAGCTTCTCCTCATAGCTCATGCCCCTTAGCTCAGGAACGAGTCTTGTTGCCTATGTTTGTACCTTCTCTGGTTTCTTAGCATTCTTTTTTCAGGTGCATGTTCCATATTGGTGCTGCATACTTCAAGATGGGCACGATGTATGTTGTGTACAGGGCCCAGAATGACTGTTGAGATTCCTCAAGGCTTCTCTTAGATTTGCACTTTACACTTCAGGAGCTAGTTGTTGGATCAGGCTTGTAGCCTATCCAAATCCTTTTGTAGTTCTACCTGATCCTCATCCACTTGAATTCTCCACATTAGCTTCACATCATCTGCAAACAGGGACACCTTTGAATCTATCCCTTCCATTGTGTCATTCACATATACCAGAAACTGCACCAGCCCTAGGACTGACCCTTGTGGAACTTCGCTCATCACAGGTGCCCACTCCGACAGCTCGCCATTTACTATCACTCGTTTCCTTGCTGTCAGGTATTCTCTGATCCATTGCAATGCCTTTCCTGTTATTCCTGCCTGCTCCTCTAGCTTTTACACCAGTCTCTTGTGTGGAACTGTGTCGAAAACCTTGTAGTCCAAGAAAATGCGGTCTACCCACCCGTCTCTCTCCTGTCTTACTTATGTCACCTTGTTGTAAACTCCAGTAGGTTTGTGACACAGGGTTTTTCCTCCCTGAAACTGTGCTGGTGAACATGTATACTCTCATTCCTTTCTAGGTTTTCCACCAGTCTTTTCCTGATAAGCTTCTCCATGACTGTGCATACCATACATGTCAGTGACACTGATCTGTAGTTTAATGCCACCTGCTTGTCTTCTTTCTTAAAGATTGGGACTACATTTCCTGTCTTCCAGACCTTGGGTAGTTACCCTGTTTTGAGAGATGTGTTGAAGATTGTTGTTTCTTCTTTCTTTCTTTCTGTCAACACACCGGCTGTATCCCACCGAGGCGGGGTGGCCCAAAAGGAAAAACGAAAGTTTCTCCTTTTACATTTAGTAATATATACAGGAGAAGAGGTTACTAGCCCCTTGCTCTCGACATTTTAGTCGCCTCTTACAACAAGCATGGCTTACGGAGGAAAAATTCTGTTCCACTTCCCCATGGAGGTAAGAGGAAATAAACAAGAACAAGAACTAGAAAGAAAATAGAAGAAAACCCAGAGGGGTGTGTATATATATGTTTGTACATGTTTGTGTAGTGTGACCTAAGTGTAAGTAGAAGTAGCAAGACATACCTGAAATCTTGCATGTGTATGAGACAGAATAAAAAGACACCAGCAATCCTACCATCATGTAAAACAATTACAGGCTTCCGTTTTACACTCACTTGGCAGGACGGTAGTACCTCCCTGGGCGGTTGCTGTCTACCAACCTACTACCTAGAATTGTTGTTTCTGTAATGCGTTTTTCCTTTTTCAGGTTCGTCGTGCACACTCCAATACACGAACACAGTCAGTGCGGCGAACATCTATACGGGAGAAAACATTAACACCAAAGAAAGAAGCACAGGAGGAAGCAAGAATAAGACTTCAGTTAGAACATAAAAAGCCTTTGGTAGGTATATACTTAATTTTTTATTACTATCTAAATATTATATATTAAAGGTGTTGGGGAATGTGTAAGTTTTTACATGTTATCATCGTGTCAGATGAAATGTTACAATTTTGAAAAGTTCTAAGTGTCTCATAAGAAAAGGTTCATAATATTATTAAGTTTATCTTTTAAATATTTTGAGTAATGAGATAAATCAAATGGAGAAAAAAATGATAGGTAGATCTGCATCTGCCAGTAGATTGTTTGTGGTAAGGTCTTGTTATGATCAAGGATAGAGTCTACTGTAATTATTTAACAGCATAAATAGAGATGGAAAATAGCACACTTCCAGCATGTGTGTATCATTTTGAGAAGCAACTAGAACAAGGGTACATGGCTACAGAGGTGTCTGAATTGTTTTGATTGTAGCATAAAAGTTAATTGAGCTGAGTAATAACTGAAAGCAAACCTAGTGCAAGAGTTGAAAATTAAATAAGGCAGTGCTAAAGTTGGTCGAAAGTAAAAAAGCAGGGCCAAGGTAAAAATAGGTATTGTCACCTTTGCCAAATTGAATCTTAAGTCTTTTGGTAGGTAAGTTTGGGGTGCCATGTGTAAATGATAATGGGGACCCTTTGATTGAACTTTGTATAGAAAGAAGAGTTTGGTTAGAGGTAATAAATATTTTAAGAAAACGAAGATAAATAAATACGTAAGATATGATGTAGGGCATAATGACGGTAGTTTGTTGGACATGGTAGATAAAAGACTGTTAGGTAGACTTCAAGATGTACATGTTTATAGAGGGGTCACAGATACATGTATATCAGATCACTTTTTACTTGTAGCTACAGTGAGAGTAAAAAGTAGATGGGATACAAGGAAAATGGAAGTAGCAGGTAAGTGAGAGGTGAAGCTTTATAAGCTAAAGGAGGAGGCAGTTAGGGTAAGATATAAACAACTATTGGAGGATAGATGGGCTAGTGAGAGTATAGGCAATGGGGATGAAGATGTATGGGGTAGGTTTAAGAATGTAGTGTTAGTGTTCAGCAGAAGTTTGTGGTTACAGGAAAGTGGGTGTGGGAGGGAAGAAGAACGATTGGTGGAATGATGTAAAGAAATTAGTAAGAGAGAAAAAATTAGCATATGAAGGTTTTTATAAAGTAGAAATGATGCAATGAGGGAGGAGTATATGGAGAGGAAAAGAGGTTAAGAGTGGTTTATCGGGAGTTTACCATGAGAGAGTTCCGGGGGTCAGTGCCCCCACAGCCCGGTCCGCAACCAGGCATCATGGTGGATCAGAGCCTGATCAACCAGGCTATTACTGCTGGCTGCATGCAATCCAACGTACGAGCCGCAGCCTGGCTGGTCAGGTACCGACTTTAGGTGCTTGTCCAGTGCCTGCTTGAAGACTGCCAGGGGTCTATTGGTAATCCCCCTTATGTATGCTGGGAGGCAATTGAACAGTCTTGGGCCCCTGACACTTATTGTATTGTCTCTTAACGTGCTAGTGACACCCCTGCTTTTCATTGGGGGGATGTTGCATCATCTGCCGAGTCTTTTGCTTTCGTTGTGAGTGATTTTCGTGTGCAAGTTCGGTACTAGTCCCTCTAGGATTTTCCAGGTGTATATAATCATGTATCTCTCCCGCCTGCGTTCCAGGGAATACAGGTTCAGGAACTTCAAGTGCTCCCAGTAATTGAGGTGTTCTATCTCCGTTATGCGCACTGTGAAAGTTTTCTGTACATTTTCTAGGTCAGCTATTTCACCTGCCTTGAAAGGTGCTGTTAGTGTGCAGCAATATTCCAGCCTAGATAGAACAAGCGACCTGAAGAGTGTCATCATGGGCTTGGCATCCATAGTTTTGAAGGTTCTCATTATCCATCCTGTCATTTTTCTAGCAGATGCGATTGATACAATGTTATGGTCCTTGAAGGTGAGATCCTCCGACATGATCACTTCCTGGTCTTAGACGTTGGTTTTTCGCTCTATTTTGTGGCCGGAATTTGTTTTGTACTCTGATGAAGTTTTAATTTCCTCGTGTTTACCATATTGGAGTAATTGAAATTTCTCATCGTTGAATTTCATATTGTTTTCTGCAGCCCATTGAAAGATTTGGTTGATGTCCACCTGGAGCCTTGCAGTGTCTGCAATGGAAGACACTGTCATGCAGATTCGAGTGTCATCTGCAAAGGAAGACACGGTGCTGTGGCTGACATCCTTGTCTATGTCAGATGTGAGGATGAGAAACAAGATGGGAGCGAGTACTGTGCCTTGTGGAACAGAGCTTTTCACCGTACCCGCCTCAGATTTTACTCTGTTGACTATTACTCTTTGTGTTCTATTTGTAAGGAAATTATAGATCCACATACCAACTTTTCCTGTTATTAACATGACTCACGAAATCGTAATGACACGATTGCAAACAAACCATACCATACGCGACAGTCTGGAGTTTTGAGACTCTCTGATCGCGGGTTCTATTCCCACCCGTGGTATAGGTTTTTTCCTGTTATTCCTTTAGCACGCATTTTGTGAGCTATAACGCCATGGTCAGACTTGTTGAAGGCTTTTGCAAAGTCTGTATATATTACATCTGCATTTTTTTTGTCTTCTAGTGCATCTAGGACCTTGTCATAGTGATCCAGTAGTTGGGACAGACAGGAGCGACCTGCTCTAAACCCATGTTGCCCTGGGTTGTGTAACTGATGGGTATCTAGATGGGTGGTGATCTTGCTTCTTAGGACCCTTTCAAAGATTTTTATGATATGGGATGTTAGTGCTATCGGTCTGTATTCTTTGCTATTGCTTTACTGCCCCCTTTGTGGAGTGGGGCTATGTCTGTTGTTTTTAGTAACTGTGGGATGACCCTCGTGTCCATGCTCCCTCTCCATAGGATGGTAAAAGCATGTGATATGGGCTTCTTGCAGTTCTTGATGAACACAGAGTTCTATGAGTCTGGCCCTTGGGCAGAATGCATGGGCATGCCATTTATCGCCTGTTTGAAGTCATTTGGCATCAGGATAACATCAGATAGGCTTGTGTTTACCAAATTCTGTGGCGCTCTCATAAAAAAGTCATTTAGATCTTCGGCTCTCAGTCTGGTTAGCGGTTTGCTAAAAACTGAGTCATATTGGGACTTGAGTAGCTCACTCATTTCCTTGCTGTCATCTATGTAGGACCCATCTTGTTTAAGCAGGGGCCCATTACTGGATGTTGTTCTCGACTTTGATTTGGCATAAGAAAAGAAATACCTTGGGTTTCTTTCGATTTCATTTATGGCTTTTAGTTCTTTCCTCGATTCCTGACTCCTATAAGATTCCTTTAGCTTAAGTTCGATGTTTGCTATTTCTCTGACCAGTGCCTCCCTACGCATTTCAGATATATTAGCCTCTTTTAGCCAGTCTGTTATTCTTTTCTGTCGCTTGTAAAGGGAGCCCCTGTCTCTTTCTATTTTACATCTGCTCCTCCTTTTTCTTAAAGGAATAAGCCTTGAGCATACATCGAGTGCCACCGAGTTAATCTGTTCTAGGCACAAGTTGGGGTCTGTGTTGCTTAATCTATCTTCCCAGCTTATATCGTTTAGGACTTGGCTTACTTGGTCCCACTTTATGTTCTTGTTATTGAAGTTGAATTTGGTGAAGGCTCCCTCGTGACTGATCTCATTTTGTCGGTCTTGGGCTCCACGCATGCATGTCTGAACTATGAGTATGTTGTGATCTGAGTACATTGTTTTTGATATGGTGATATTTCGTATCAGATCATCATTGTTAGTGAAGATGAGGTCTAGTGTATTCTCCAGTCTAGTAGGCTCTATTATTTGCTGGTTTAAGTTGAATTTTGTGCAGAGATTTAAAAGCTCGTGTGTGTGTGAGTTCTCGTCAGAGCTGCCTCCTGGTGTTATCACTCTAACAACATTATTTGCTATATTCCTCCATTTTAGGTGCCTCAAGTTGAAATCCCCCAGGAGCAAGATGTTGGGGGCAAGAGCTGGAAGATTTTCCAGATAGTGGTCAATTTTTAACAGCTGTTCCTGGAATTGCTGGGACATTGCATCCTGAGGCTTGTAGACTACCACAATGACTTGGTTTTGGTTCTCGATCTTTACTACTAAAACTTCCACTACATCATTTGAGGCATTAAGCAGTTCTGTGCAAATAAGTGACTCTGCAATATACAGGCCAATACCCCCCTCCTCCCTCCCTTTTGCCTGTTCACTCTGTCACATCAGTGGTGAAGCAATGCAAAAAAAAAAAAAAAAAAAAAAAAGCAAATGAGTGAGTGGGTGAGATATCAACAAATTTTTTTGAAAATAAGAAAATGTTTTGGAGTGAGATCACTAAGTTGAGGAAGTGTAGGGAACAAATGTATTTGACAGTTAAAAGTAGGAGAAGAAAGTTATTAAATGGAGAGTTAGAGGTATCAGGAAGATGGAGGGAATATTTTGAAGAATTGTTAAATGTTGATGAAGATAGAGAAGCTATGATTTTGTGTGTAGGGCAAGGAGGAATAACATCTTGTAGGAGTGTGGAAGAACGAGTTGAGTGTGGGGGAAGTTCATGAGGCAATGGGTAGAAAGGAGGTAAGGCAGCTGGGATTGATGGGATAAAGATAGAAATGTTAAAAGCAGGTGGGGATATAGTACTTGAATGGTTGGTGCGTTTATTTAATAAATATGTGGACAGCTTTTGTTCTGAGTAGGGAAATTAGATCTAACAAAAATGGATTTATGAAGGATAAGGTTAATCATAGAATTGATGAGGAAAAAAAGGTGAGTGGTGCATTGAGGTATATGTGGAGACTAAAAATGTTTTCTATGGAGGCAAAGAGGGGAATGTATGAAAGTATAGTAGTACCCGCACTCTTATATGGGTGTGAAGCTTGGGTTGTGAATGCAGCAGCGAGGAGGCGGTTGGAGGCAGTGGAGATGTCCTGTCTAAGGGCAATGTGTGGTGTAAATATTATGCAGAAAATTTGGAGTGTGGAAATTAGGAGAAGGTGTGGAGTTAATAAAAGTATTAGTC